TCTAGCCACCAGATGTGATAAGACACCATTGGCTTGCCAGTAGAGGCAGTAAGCCAAGAAACCTGGGTGCTTTGGGAAAGATCTCTATTATTACATTATTAATTTCTTTAATAATATTTGTTTCCAATAACAAGCTTTGTAGCAAGATCCCCAGGTCTTGACTGCCTTCCTAAATCAGTTCCTTTCAACTCTAACACAGCTGAAGCTTGTGGTCTTTTACAGCATGGCCTTCATCTAAACAAACTGGTAGGAGGACAGAGAGGCACAGAGATTGTCCCAGCACTTCTCCCACAGAAAAGCATGAAAATACTTTATTATTTCATCTTACTGTCCCAAATTGTAGGCTCTGCTCCTCCTAAAGCTGGCCAGCAAAGAAGCACAAACATGTTCATGAAATAGATGTGAGAGCTCTGAAAATCAGTACAAGCCGAATTTATCTCTAGTAATTTTGTAAAGTGAAAGAGGTGATCTATTGCCGGTGACAGGGTGTAAGTTCAGCATGTGTCTCTTGCTGCTATCTGTCAACTACTCAGATACTTTAAATAGTGTCTTTTTTCCATCTGAAACTGTGTTATGCTTAATTCTTTCCAGCCAATGCTGCTTGCCATGTTGCTCTTTGGAGAGCACACATGGGAATGGATGCTCTACAGTGGATTGCTCAACTCCAGTCACTGCTGCACACTCTGCCTGTCCTGGAAACCCAAACCCAGGGATGCAAACAGCCAGATTAAGATAAGAACAGCCCATTTTGAGTGTCAAGTTTGACCTCCCATGCTGCCCAACCCAAAAACCGCTCTAGTTCAGAAATTTCCTGCCTCCAGGCTATTGCTTGCTGCTGAGCCAGAGCCTGGCAGGTTGGAAACCTCAACTATCAGTCCACTCTTGGCTCTGGCAGGGCTCTCTGCAAATGCTGACATGATTTGAATGAACATTCCTTGGGACATGCGCAGCTGGGTGTGTAGCAGGGAAGTGGGCCCCAAGATTACTGCGAGGACCTGTGCCTTTCTGCGAGGTTGAAGTTGTGTCTCCCACAGCACGCTGCCCATTGACAGCCAGAGAATCCTCGGTGCCCTGAAGGGGTGAGAGCCACTCCCAGCCCCTCAGTGGCAATGACAGGCAGGACACGGGGTCTGTTTGTCTTTGCAAACCGGGGCTCTCCCATTGCCTGCACTGGGAGCTGTGGAATTGCTGTGCTATCCCAGCCTCAAGGTGTTTTACAGCTCTCTTGTTCTTAAAGTGGGGGAAAAAAAAAAGAAGATACCAGATGTCAGAAGGTTGTTTTAGCTGCTTTGCTTTATTGATAGATACTGCATTACAAATGAGAAGTGCAATACATGCAAAAACCATCTGAATCTTGTCTACTGTTGAGTAAACGCAGGCGAAATAACCCCCAATACATTCATGCCTTTCCCAGGCCTCCCCACAGCCACGTAAACATCAGTGGACAATAATACATGCAACAAGGAAATCAGGTGTATTTAAAAAAACAAACATGGTTCTTCCCTTCATTTAGTGCAAGTACATCACTGAAAAAACAATGTTTTGAGAGAAGGTGGAACGAAAGGGAGAAAGCTGCTATGAGATACCAAGATAGAGGAACCAATTTGGAGGCTCAGTCCATCCTGATGGCACTAGTATAACTCACTGAAAGCTGGGAAAACAGCTCAGCTGATTTCTGGAATATAAAATAAAATAAAATAAAATAAAATAAAATAAAATAAAATAAAATAAAATAAAATAAAATAAAATAAAATAATGCTAAAAAATACTGTAGAAGGCAAAAAGAAGGGAAAAGTGTGCATTGGTTAGTGGAGTTTTTCCCCCTGTATCTGCCCCTACCCAGAGACACTGATTTACAGATCTTGAAAAGACTCTGTCCACTTCATTACAGCAAGTTGCACTTTCCCTCTTTCCCACCATCCCTGTGTGTATCATACTGGGAAAATGCCCTCTGAAGAGATGCTTTATGACAAAAAATTTGGCCTTTGCTCCCTGCAGAGCTACATGATAATACTGAGATCCAGATCTAGGGCTGGGCTAGGATGAGGGGCTGACTTTCACAGTCTTTTCTGGGACTCTAATATGTCATTTTAGGACTTCTCTGCTGAAATTATCCTTTGCCTACCCACCTTCTTGTATATCAGCAGAGCATTATGTGGAAGTCCTTGGACCAGCTGGGCTGAATGTGGAAGTGTGTTGACTGTCCAGACCTTCCAGGTGTCCATCCCCAGGCATCACTGCTGGCCGCTGCTGCAGCCTCCCATGCTTCTGCGACCCAGCAGCTAATCGGTTGGAGCTGTATCTGTGTGTAGAGGCATCATAACAAAGATCAGAGTCAATTCTGCCCAGCCATCTGAGCAAACATGGTATCTTGGGTTTGTTCTCAAGCCTGCAGCCTGAGGTTTTCAAGCTAAGACCATGATTTATCTGCCAACCTACAAAAAGATTTTGCAGGCAACAGGATAAACTTGAGCTGAAGCCAAGGTCGTTTCAACCTATTTTCCACCCACTGGCCAGGACCAGGCTCAGAGGTCCGTGTGGCTGCTTCAGTCTTTCCTTGCAAGTGAAGGCAGTCCCTGCCAAGCCAAAAGGCAGGATGGCATATTTTGAACAGTCTCCTGGTATCAAAAAAGAAATGAGCTGCTCTGATCTGGCCCCATGGTGACCCACAACAGGATAAGACAGAAAGCAATGTTAAAGATGAGCTGCGCTTGGAAACAGCATCATCACCCTTATGCTGCTTCCAGCATTGCTGCTTTGCTCTGTGGGGTATGCAGGCAAGAGATTTAGCTGAAGTTTTGCTTGGTTTTATCATCTCTAAATGTCCCCCACGATAGCTGTTTACACAGCAAAGAAAAGTTCCAAAGGCAAACTTTCCAGCAGTGGCTACCAGAAGCTGTGATGAATTCAGTCCTCACCCTTCACAGGGACACCTTTCAGTGCAAAGAAAACCAGATGTCTGCAGTAGATGACGGGACAGGGACAGGAAGGCAGTCCTTTCTCCACCTGCAATGAAACACATGTCCAAAGGAAGAAGCAAGCCCTGCATCTGTGCAAAAACCCTCCTGACCAGCCACAAAAATTCCAAATTCTGAGAAAAAAAGATTGTTTTGCTTACTGTGATATTTTTAAAGGAAACTGGTATAAACCATTTATTTTTAAATGCCTAAATCAGCAACTCCACTTCTGAGCTGGAAAAGTCATCTGAGGCAGGAGCCTGGGCTTGGTGAAGTCCTTACTCATGTTCCTTACCCCACAGTGACACTTGGGGTCTTGGCCATGCCAGACGGACTGTCCCAATTTGGGAGATTAGGGATGCTTGGGCACTGTTTTGCCCATCAGTTTTTCTACTACCAGCCTGGAACGTTAGTATTTTACCTCCTATTTGTGCATGATGGTTGCATGTGATAAAAAGCAGCACATGAGGATCCCTGAAAACTTAAGAGAGGCTTATATTGACTCCAAGAAACCAGAGAAGCACTGTCTACTATGAAACCCAACTAGATACAACATTCTTTTTCTTTTATTTGTCTTTGGGACATCTTCAGCTCCTGTCCGGCTTTAGGGTATCTGGGAACAGCCTAAACCAGTAAAAGCTAAGCAAATACCAACAACCACTGGGAAACATACCCTAAATCTCACGAAGAATCACCAAGCGCTTATTTATCTCAGTGGGTTCAGAGGGACATCTGCTATGGGATTGAGGTTTCATGGCTGTTTCTAAGGGCATATCACCCTCTGTTTCAGGTTTGAGCCCTGAAAAAGAGAAGCTGCCACACACTCTGCTCCTCCACAAAGAGCGGCACTCAGCGTGGCCTTCTTCCCACCCAACTCTCACCCCAGGAGCAAAAATAAATGAAAAGCAAAAGAAAAAGTCAGGCTTCATATTCTGGATGGATATTTATTTGCTTAAACAGATTTTGTTGGGGTTTTTTTCTTTTTTTTTTTCTTTTTTGGTACAAAGCATCCAGGAAAGCTTTTACTTCTCTTTTTAAAAAATAAAAACTAGGTTTCTTTTAAAAAAAGACACATGAAAAGAAAAAAAAAAGAAGTCAATCATTTGCAATTGCTCTGTTTTTTCTGCCTTCCCCACCCACTCCCCTTCCCCCCCCCCCCTTTTAATTTGGACCGATTTTCATTCTTTCCATATATATTTAATAAAATAAATAAAGGATTTTCTTTGTCGTGTATTGCAGTGCCATATTTTTTTAAAACAAAGGCTTCATGGCTCAACATTGCAAGGTAATAACAAACAAAAGGATTACACATTAAAATCCTCCCCCTCTCAAGACTCCCCCTAGCCCTCCCCTCCAAACCACGAAATAGAATACAATTCAAGTAGTCTTTTTTTTTTTTATGTTTTAAATGTATGGATATATAAGACAAAGCAAGTACAGAACTGGTTAACAGAGTGTCCCCATTTTATTAGCAAGTGAGAATATATTAGGGAGATGTAATTGATTCCCCCCTTTTTATGGTTCCTAGACAGATAATATATATTATTTTAAAGCCAACCTATTTTACAGCCCTCGACCACCTCTCAAACCCATCCACTCACTGAGTCCCAGGCCTCAAGCCAGAGACTTGCCTTTCCCCTCATCCCATGCAGCGGTCCCAGCCCTGCAGCCACCCGGTGCAGCCCTCCTCTTCTGCAGCCCTGGGGGGGGGGGGGGGGCACAAGGAGAAGGGTGGGGGGCATGGGGCAGGAAGGGCGGGTCCGGCGAGAAGGATGCAAGGGGCAAGAGAAGGAAAAGGAGATGGTGGGGCATGGAGCTGGTGGTTCTGCAGGGCCTGACGGTGGTGGCCGCTGTCCCACCCGCTCACAGGAGCACTGCAGGGTGGGGAGGAAAGTGGTAGGTCCCCTGTGGCTCTGGAAGCCAAGCTCTGCTGGGGGTCCATGCAGAAGCAGGGCCTTGAGTTGTAACTGGCGATACCTTCACCATTCAAAATAGTTTGCCTCTAGAACAGTTCCCTTTTAGTCTAAATTGTGGTGGTTTTGGTTGTTTTGTTTTTTTTTTTTATTTTTTTTTTTTTTAAAAAAGGATGCGTGTCGGTGTATTTCTGTGTGTGCGTGCATCTGTGTACATGAGTAACAGCCAACTAGCTCATATGGTCATGACCAAGCTATATTTCAGAAGAGAAAAGAAACACATTTATCACACTTTTCCTAAAACGAAAAGCTAAAATTTCAAGTTCAGTATTCGCTATCTTGTCCTTCCCTCCCCACCCTCCCTTGCTATTTCTGGGTTTTTTCTCTTCCAACTTACTTTAGCACCATAACACATTTTAAACATTACAATCCTTCTTCAGATACTACACAAAATGTCCCATAAAAATAGTGCTTTTTTGCCAAAAAAGTTATATAATATATTATATATATAAATCAACTAAATCCGTGGCAAATGTGCAATGCAGACGCCTCCTCCATTTAAAGTGAGCAACAGCTCACTTTTTTTTCTTCTTTCTCCTTTCCTTTTTCTTCTGTCTTTCTCGCTTTCTCTCTCCTCTTCCTCTCCTTCTCACGATGATTTCAAAAAGGTGCAAGTCGATTTGGAATCTTGTAATGAAGCACACACACAAAAATGCAGATGGGGGCTCCTTGGAACATCTTCTCAGGTATGTTTTTCTTTTAAAGGTGCAAAAGAAAGTTATAAAAATAAGACAACCAAAGGAAAAAAAAAAAAAAAAGGAAAAAAGTGGGGTGGGAATGAGGCAAAAAAATTCTATCCCTCAGTATTTCTTCCCATTTTACTGTATTTTTTCACTTTATTGTCAAGAAAGACACGGAATGGATTCTTCTTCTCGAGAAAAAACAAAAAAAAAAACAAAAAAAAGATTTTAAAAGATATTTTAACTTCAAATCCTTTTTCCCTCTTGCTCTTTCTTTTGTCTTCTGGCGTTGGCACCGGGGATGTCACGCAGCGCCCGGCAGCAAAAAGTTCAAGTGCCAAACTGTCCCTTTGCAAGTACAGGCTTGGAAATACTGGGGGCGCGGGGGAACGAAACAGGCCTGGGAAACAAAACAACCCTCCCCCCCCACCCCGAAAGGACGATGCTGCGGGAGCTGCTCGCCGCCGCTGCCGCTGCCGCCATCCCCTCCTTGCTGTGTCAGTTGTTTGGTTGGGGCCGGAGCGGCGTGAGGGTGCTTCACCACCCCGCTCTTCGGCTCGGCGGCCCCGGGGACGGAGGGGCTCGGGGGCCGGGTCTCGCCAGTCCTCCCGCCCTTCCCCGGGAGATCAAAAATCGAGACGGCTGATCAGGGTTCATTTCTGGGGGCCGGCCGTCTCCGGGGAGGCTCGCGCCGCAGGGGGCCTCTGGCTGGGCACGAAGATGAGGGGACGGTGCAGAGCCTTGGCTTCCTCCGCCGCTTGCAGGCCCTCCGCCTGCCACCGGTACTGGCGAGCCCGCAGGATGCCGGGCACCTCCCGCTGCAGCCGCTGGGAGCTCTTCTTCTGCCACACATCGTACTTGGAGTACTTGGCATGCGAGGGCTTCTGGAAGCTCTCCTGCAAGAGGATGAGGTAGCAGTGTTAGCCTCTCTGCAAGCCCTCCAGATGGGCCTCCCCTCTTTAAACTCCATCCATCCCATGGAAACACTGTCCCATTCCCGGAAATACTCAAGGTCAGTCTGGACAGGGCTTTGAGCAACCTGGTCTAGCTGAAAATGTCCCTGCTCATTGCAGGGGATTTGGACCAGATGACATTAAAAGGTTCTTTCCAACCCAAACTATTCCATGATTTGTCCCACCTCTGGCCCCCCACCTCATTAAAGCTGACTTTCCACAGGGTTTTTAGCATGAGTTGCCAACGGTGACCATCTCAAAGGCTCTGCAGGAGCAAGACTTTGCATCTGGGGTTTGTCGTCTCCCATCCACGGCCTTCACATCTTTTCTCTTGCTGTCTATGTTGGAGAAGCATTGCCATTCGGGCACAGACCTACCTTGTTGAGTGCCGGCAGGCCCGCCAGAGAGGTGGCAGAGAGGTCACGCTCGGACTTGACAGACTTGGCGCAGTAGGTTTCCAGCAGAGCCAGGTCGCAGCTCCGAAAGCAGCACTCCTCCACGATCCCGCGGTTGATCCGCCGGTTATTTCGCCCCACTGGTCTACCTGCAACAGCAGAGACCCCAGTGTTAGCTGCCAACCTGGACTGGACCCTCTACCCACCTCAACAGCAAAAACATCCCCTTGCGGGCATCCCTCCACCAGCAATCAGAGACTGGTGGGTCCACACTTCAAAACCAGCAGCGCTTCTCCCAAACCAGCCGACATGTGCCTGCAAACCAGACGATTTTCACATTAAGACTGTCCCAGACTAATGCTGTTAATGCCAACAGGGCTCCCCACGTGCGCGCAGCACTAATTAAAGGCACTTTCTACGGTGGTGATTTATTCCCCTCATATACCTTCAGCACAGGCAGCCTTTCTGGGCGCAGCTAAAGCAAGGAAGCCCAAGCCCAGCCGCCAGCACTGCGCCGATTACTGTGACCGTCTCCGATGTTGATCCTGGCAAGCGAGTTTTATTAGAAAGAGGCAGCACGGCATTGCAGCTGCCAACCTCCCTCCGCCGGGTTGACACTCAGGCAGGTGAAGCGAACCAAGGCGGCTAAATTTTACCAGATGGGACAGCTCTGAGACAGCTGCAGAAAGAATACAGGCTCCCGCACCTGCCAAGAATAGCTATTAAACTTAATCTTTTAATAAGGGTTCCTCTCCCATTTCTGCCTGAAGAAGGATGAGTAAGCCCGTGTCCAGTGCAGCAACAACCGTATGCATTTCGTATAACTGCTTAATGATGGCCAAAGCACTTCGGAGGAAAATCTTACATCAGTTTTACTGGTCTTCCTTCCACTCTCAAAATAAAAGACATGGGCAAATTTGAATTTCTCATGCAAAACAAATTTGCTTGGGAATTGTGACTTCCAAAACACAAACTGGCCCAAAACAAAGGGATTTTCTCTGCACTTCTGTGCACGATAAGTTATGTGCTTGTGCTGTTCTGGGGTTTGCAGCCAGGGCTCCACACACTGCCATCAGCACCTTCTCCCAGCACAAGGTGCTCCAAGGGAGAGGAGCAGAGCTGTCATCAGCAGGGCTTGCAAGCAGGATCCTGTACCACATTCCATCCAGGAGAATTTGGGCGTGGGAAAAACTGAGAGCAAGTAGTGGAAATGCAATGCCTAATGCTGCTCACCATGCCATGCTGAGCCCCTACCTCCCTGCAGGAACAAACGAAATGGTCCATGCTGGCCCTGTCCACAACCTGTAATCCACTCCTGCACCATTAATGAAGCAGGCACTCAAGTATTTGGCCTGGTTGAACGTTCTGGGGCCCTAGCTTGCAATTACCCTGAGGAAAATTTCCATCTGGGTGCCCACCCAAAGTGCCTCAGGACAAAGTACAAAGCACAGGAGTTTTCTGTGTATGCAGTGCAACCCTACATGTGAAAAGCAGCCCTGTATGTGCAATATAAACATGCATGTGCAATGCTGACCTGCATGTTCAGTGCAGTCCTGCATGTACAATGCACCCAATGTGTGCAATTCTGGCATGCAAAACCCCACAACCATACTTCACCATGGACTCTGCAAGAGCAAAGCCCCCGGTGGCGGAACACCTGCTCTACCTGCTCTGTTACAATCATTTGTGGCCCCATCCACAGGGAGCCCTCTGCTCCATGCCCATGCATTGCCACTGCATTCATAGGTCATGAGAGCAAGTGCAGCATCAGGGCGCAGGGTGATGGGGCAGCTGACCCATACATGCAGTGCATCTCCGGCAGTCGTGTCAAATGTTTTGCTTTTCATATTCATCTCCCCTGAGCCACCACCCTCATTTTCTTTTTTCTTAGGGAAAAAACTCAGACATGACCTTTAGCCAGCCCTACAGGAAGGTGAAAAGAACAGTTCCCTCTTGGTAAAGGCTCAGCAAAGGGAGCACTCTGAGGAGTTTAACTTTCTCTCTGTAAATGCTTGTGGCCAACAAGCACACTGAATTAGTCCCTCCCTTTAAAGGCAGGGCAGGTGTGTTGGGTGCCTACAGCTGTATGAATGATACCAGTGAAGGCAATCCAGGTTGCAATGCCCAAGGAAGATGGGAGAGAGGAATCAGATTAGGGGCAGGTGCATGTATTCTTCTATATGCATGCAATGCCCAGCAAGATGTATGGGAGACTTATGCTGCTGCTGCTGCATCCCGCAACACATATGGCCCCCAGTCATCACCTACCGACCCCACTGCCAAACCTGCATGTGTGGCAGGTTGCTGAAGCATTAGGTTGCTCCAGAAAGGCATCCTGAGCATGGGCAGAAGGAGAGGTTGGAAGGAAAAGAGAAAAAAATCAAGTCACCCCCTCTTGCTAGCACATCCCCACAGGGCTGCCTTCACACTCCCGCTGAACAGAATGTTGCACAAGTGACAACACGCACAGTTTGGGGAGAATTTGAGGTTTTGAAAGGTTACACGTCTCCTCTCAAAAACAGAAATTGCCCGCTTGCAGCTATGTGTTTGTTTGGAAAGAAGAGGGTGGAAAAAAAAAACAAGGAAATCGGGACCATTTCACCACCTTGCCAACATGAGCACTTTGTGGCATGGGAGCACGTGGGAAGATCACAGCAGCATGCTTGCAAACACCCTGGTGTGGCACCACCAGGCTGAGCTCCCGGCAGGGACCACCGTGGTGGCATGGCTCTTTTCTCCCCACTCACTGCCCCTGTCAGATCTGTGGGCACACGCACAGCCACTAGCCCCATGGCTGCCCTTTCTCTTGCATGAAGCCACTGCATGCTGCTCCCCTTGCTGGCACTGCTGCCAGCTCCACCGCGATGGTCTGATAGGGCACATTTTCCATTACATAATTGTTGGTACAGACCTCGCCAAATGCCAATATGGTCCTCTGTGGGAGAGTTACTTTAGGAAAAAAAAACAGGCAAACAAAACAAACAGGGATTTAGTCCCTGAACGTACCTGGAGACAACAACCCCAGGAAGAGATGCCAGGTCATTGGTGGTTAACACCAGTATCGCTGCTGACCTGGACTGGGAAAAATGTTTGTTCCATAACACAATTTACGCACGGACTAAAGGTTGAATTTCCTGGCTTCTGCCCATGGGCGGCATCTTGCTTTACTGCCACTGCCAAATCCAGGGAAGGATTTGCTCCTTTGTCCCCTGCCCACATGGGAGAGCTGGGCGGGCAGCAGTCTGCATTGCCACATGAGCCACTTCCCACTGCAGCAATGACCACCTCCTCCTGAGGAAGTGCACTTCCTCTTGGCCTTCAGTGAATGGCTATGCCCTCTTTTCTCCAAGTTGCGCTTCACTACAACCTCCCACAGCTCTGCTGAGGGGCCGAGCCCTGCAGTGCAAAGCCCAGTGATGCTAAGTCCAATGATTCAAAGCCCTCTGGCTGCCCAGGGTTATTCCCATCTGGCAGCAGGCTATTCTGACAGAGAGCTGAGCATCCCAGTGGGAGCACAAAGCCAAACCCATTCCTGGGAGAACCCAGTGGCCATGTACCTGCAGCACAGCTATTCCTCTGCACTGGAGTGGGACAGGAGAGTTCCTTCCCTGGCATCACCACCCTGCTGCTCCAGGCTCCCCACTCTCACCAGGGCCGCAGGGAAGGGTGCGCGGTGCCAGTGCCACCCTGGCCGGGTCCCCTCTTGTCCGGTCAATCAGGCCGCAAGCCGAGTGGAAGGGGACTTTGGGTGTAAACAGCCCCTGCGCCCCTGTTGCAGGAATGTTGGGAGCAACAAGGGGGCCTTTGTCCGGCACCAGGCCCCGTCCCAGTGCCCCTGGTCTGTCCCTCCCCCACCCCAGCACCACACTTTCCCCCCTGCTTTTTCCTAGTATTATTCAGAGGAGCGGCGGGTGCGCAAGAATGTGCCCTGTCAGCACAAGCGGCTGCAAAGAGCTAAATTCTTATCAGCTGTTGGAAAGGAGGAAACGGGAGCTGTTGTTTACAGAGAAGTCCGATGCCTCTCCCCCTGCAGCCCCTTCTCCCCTCCCTGCCAGCACTGCATGACAGCAATTCCGTGGCCAGGGCTTCCTCTAGGTCTGCCCCACTTTCTTCACTCAGAGCTGCACTCAGCATCCCTCAGTGGGCCATGCTGCCATTGCCAGGACGGGTGCTAGTGAGCACGGACAGGGGGTCCCAACAGAGCAGAGCCACAGTGGGATATCACCACCTTGCTGGCACCTGCAGATCAGGTGCCCAAAAGCCTTAAAAGTCACAGAGGGGAGGAATCACAACTGGGGCAGAGAACAATGCATGTATGGCTCCAGCTGCAGCTTGCCCAGGCACCCCTGGGATGTGGCACAGGGCTGGAGTGGTGCACACTGCCATGCTCACCCTGCATCCCATGGCAAGAAACACTGGTGCTGCTGGCTTCTTCCCCTCCTGGTGTAGCTCTTTTGCAGCCCCAGCTCTTAGAGTCAGCTTCAACATCTTCAGCCCTGAGCACTAGCCAGCCATGGTACCTCCAAGGGCACCTGGGGGCTGAGACTTGCTCCCCAAGCCAGCAGACAGATGGGCACCCCCATTATGAGGGGGTGCACCCTCCTCAGTCTGGGCTGCATACTACCCCATCGCCAGATGCCAGGAGAATGGCACACTATCAGCACATTGTATTCCCCTGCATGGGTGCAAACAGTGCTGCATTTCAGAGGTAGCTTCGCTAGCTAAGTGTTCTCTTGTAAGAATGTAGAGCATCGGTTAAGATCTTAAATCACTGCTGCAGCAGAAAACCAATAATGCATTTTTGTATCATTTTTGGGGTTTATTTCCAAAATTACCAGTTGGATACTTGCAACAAGCCCCATCCAGCAGGGCTCACCTGTACTTGCAGGACAAGGCTGCCCACGTAATTTACCTCCTGTACAAATGAGTATGAGCAGCCTGTGCTAACACAAGGTCACATGTCCCGTGCTTGAAGTATTCATGACAAACCCAGGTCCAGTTTTAAGATGTAAACCCATGATCATGTAATATAACCAATGCCCTACTGAGCCTACATGGTGATAATAGTGCAGCCATGAGGGTTTAGGAGCAAAGATGAGTATGGTCAGGAGAATGAATCACTTTATGAGGACAACAGATGGAGGTAGAGGGGAAAAAGTGAAGCAAGATGTGGATATCCAAACCCTTTGTCAAAGAGAGCCATCACCCAAATGTCTTCAGCCCTGCACAGCACATGCTGGACAGATGCTGAAGTGGTTAAAATGGGACTTTGTTTCATCCCCCAGCACCTGAGCTGTGCAGAAATACTCAGAAAGAAAAAGGGGGGACAGGAGAGGACAAAAAAAAAGAAAAGGCAAGAATTCCCTTGCAAGCATCAGATTGGCCACTTGGCACCAAGCAACTTCTCTGCCTTCAAAAGTGTTTTTATTTTGGCCTGGACTGCTGGGTTACTTGAGGTGAAAGGAGGTCAGTTTGTCCGTAAAACAAAAGCCCCATTCCCTTTCATCCCCAGAGAGGGGGAGGAGGGAAGAGAAACCATGGGATGGAGATGGGCTCTCCTCTATATATCGGAGGGAGAGGAAGAGGTGTTACAGCAGGACAGCAGCTTGCCTCCTTGACGCACCAGTAAGGCCAGTCCTGGACTCACTGCCTTGTCTAAGCTACGGCGCAGGGCTCGCTGGGAGAGGAAAGGTGGAAGGGAGAGATGAGAAGAGGAAGGGGAGCTGACATGCAAACCCTTGCCACCCAGCAAGAGGAAGGAAGTGTCCCCAGGGTGTTCCCAAAAGCACCACCTTCCCGCAACACCCTGAGCATGGTACAAACATCTGCTGCTCAGCTGGGATAGGGCAGGGTGATCACCCCAGTGAGCTGCAAAGCCACCTGCGGCCCGACCACCTGCCCAAAGTTACACAGCTGCTGCTGGATGGAGGATTCCTGCACTTCTCCCTGCCCAACCTCAGCCAAGTCTGGCTGAAGACCTAAGTTGGGAAGGGACATCCAGGGTAGTCTCCTGCAGCACCCTGTTCTCTGCACAGGCACACTGGAACAAGAGGGAGGCTGGCTCTCAACTCCACTACTCCAAAACCACCCTGTTACGTGAAAATGATTTTTTATTTCATTTTCCCAAGGCAGAGGCAAGACTGCCAAGTGCATGGCACCATGTACATCTGGTATCACCTTCCTCTTCCCCCTGCTTCATTTGCATCTTTCCTGTAGTCAGTCACTCTTCGGCTCAGTTCACAGAAGGTGGCAAGACACAGGGTCTTCCCTCTACCAAGATGAGCAGAGGACCAAAACACCAGAACAAGGCATGAAACTCAAGACACCTTTGCAGATAGATTACCGAGTGTCCATTGCTAGTGATTTTCTCTTCCTCCCTGTTTGCCAGCTAAGCCATTGTATTGCTAATGCCAACAGTCCAAACCCCCAAGCATCATGGTGGAAAGCCCATTCCAGCCAACTGTCCTGAAGTCACCTGCACTCTGTGGATGACTGAAACACTGCATTTTTTTGCACAAGATGTGCTGCAAAAATGGTAAGACATCACTTTTCAGCGACAAGTTCACCACTGGGTATCCAGCAGGCCACAAAGCGTGTTTTGGGAGCAGCCTAGAAACTGCTGTCATTCCCAAACAAAGCCTGCACAGAAAGGTGGAGTGCCCAGATCCATGCCTGCTCTCAGGTGCAGCACGTAGGCAGCAAGGTTTAAAAATAAGCCAGGGCCCAAGCTCAGCAGAGAGCTGGCTGCAGACATCCTTATTATTTTAACACCCTTGGTGAGCCAACCACCTATGGCTCCCCAGCGATATTTGATTTTCCCAAGCATCAAATGCTGGACCCACTTTCCTCATGGGACTGAGCATATTCCTTTTCTCATTCATTTCCAGGCCTACCGCCATGCAGAAGGAAACCACAAAAAGCCTTCCCAGCCAGACTGGGAAACCCTTCCTTTCCCTCTCATCCCAGCTCCACTGAAGCAAGACATGGGGTGGGAGCAGCATCCTGCCCGCTGACAACAGCGGCCCAGCACTTACTGAAGTAGAAGCCCCTGTCCCCGCAGACGAACTGCAGCGTGTCCACCAGCTCCCCGCCACACAGGGTCTCCGCCGTGCCATACGCTGCAGCTGAATCCAGCGCATAGGCCAGGAAAGCCAGCAGAAGCAGCAGCATCCTCCTCGCTGCACACATCCTCTGCACCTGGGGACAAAGGCACAGTGTTAACGTGGCACGAGACACCCCTCTCTGCCACCTACCCTAGGCAAAGCCCCTCACCACAGCATGCCTGGGGTTTGATGCCCAGACATGTCAGGATGCTGCAGAGCAGGACCTGCAGCCCTGAGCTGGCCACTGGTGCAAGGCTGGCTCCCTGCTCTCACCCCACCAGCCAGCTGCTCTGATCAGACAAAGTTTGGATTGAAGCAGTTTTTTCCATTGTAAAATCCCACTTCAGCCTACCTCTGAAAGGCTTTTATTCCCCCTGCTCTTTCAACAGCATGATTTTTTATTTTACACCCCTTTTGCATGAGAGATCATCCAAATGATTATTGGAAGGCATTTCTTTTTCATTTCTGATTATAGGTTTTCATGACCCACATGAACACATGTTCACCCAAAGCAGAATCAAATGAAGTTTCAACCTGTCCTAGAGCTGCTTTTGAGAAAAGCTGGGTTTTGCCAAGGAGCGGCCTTTGCCCCGAGCGTGTGAGAGACTTGTACAGCCGAGGCTCAGGCAATCGAGGGGCTGATTGAACAACCTGTGTTTGCTGATGAGAGCTGGGACCAAGAAGACATCCCTCAGAATCAAAGCAGTCCCACAGAAAAGCTGCCTGAGGCATCACCAAGGAGGGCCAAGGGGGTATTAGCTGGTGTGAAGGATTAAAAAAAAAAACTCCCTGGATATTTCCTAACTAACCCAAAGATTTCCCCTGACTCAGCTCCAGCAAACAGTTTTACCTCCATGTCAGATTCTGCAGGTGTAAAGAGAGGGTACTATAGCCTCACTGGATGAGGCAAAACCCCTGGATGCTTCAAGGCATTACAGTCCCTCAGTGATGACCATTACTGTATATATACAGCCAAATGACGATGGTGGCCAGACAGGTGAACACAAAATGAAAAGGGGAAGCATGGCAAGACAGCAGCTGGCATGGGGTAATGCTAAATCTCAAGCAGAGCATCCCCGCTCCCTGCTAACACTCAGACAAGATGCTGGGTTTCACATCCAGCCTTCATCACCATAACATCTGAGCAACTTGAGAATATTATCAGTTAATGAATATTACCTCACTGCCACCACCACCCCCCCCCACCACCCCCCCCCCCCGGGATGCTCAGAGATGGAGCCGAAGCCCAGGATAGATTGAATGACTTGCCCAAGGTCACAGGGGAAGTCTGCAGTGCAGCCAGGAAATTAGCCCAGCTCCCCCAGGGCACCGCTACAGTCCTGCCAGCAATAAAGCCACCCTTGCTACCAATTTTTTACTAGCACATAGCTCAAATTGTCGCTGATAGAAATGCGCTGTGCTTACAAGTCATAAACTCTTCTGAGCAGCGAAATGACAGGAATCAGCATTCAGAAAAGCCAAAACAGAGGTTTCGTCCGAGTGGGCTGAGGGGGGCATCCTCCCTGCACATGCTTCAATGCCCATCGTATTGCTCAGCCTGCGCTGGCAGAGACCCGCAAGGCTGTCAAAATCCCTCCAGGGCTCTGGACAAGAGAGGCAGCAGCCCTAGGAACAAACTGGGCTCAAACCGGCAAGTGATGGGACCTGGACCGGCTTTTCCAGTAGCACCAGTCCCCAGAGCATGCTGAGGGGGCTTTGATCTCTATTATATAGGAGCAGAGGGATAGCACTAGGCTGTGCTTGCACCACACTTCCTAGCTGCAGTGTTTTGCCACCAACACATTTTCACCTTGATTTTTTTACCAAGCGGCCAGCCAACAAGTGTATATTGGGCCTCCCCAGCATGACCACAGCATCATCTTCACTGCTTGAGCCATGCCCCTGATGCGGCAGAATTGGCAGCCAGATCTCCAGCTGACAAGAGCCCAATGATGCTTTTCTTTTCCCCCTTTTTTTTACATGCAGCTCCTGATTGCTGGTGTCCCCAGGGTGCAGGAAGCACTGGCAGCTCATTGCTGGGGCAGCAGATGTGTGCCAGCCAGTGCTGCTGTTGAAGCTGCTGACATGGGACTTCAGGACACCCAAATAATCCCTCATCCCCAATTAGGCTCATGCGGGCTGTGAGCACAGTGGCTAACAAGCAGTCTGCCTGCTGGCCTTCCCCAAGCCAGACACAGCCCCCCAGAAGGGGCTTGCTTGGTGGCATGGGTGACAAAGGCATTTTTTCCTCCACATTCAGTCTAAAGAAAGGGGTGAGATGCTCTGAAGCAAGGGGAGAGCAAGTTTTTGTCAGCGGGGCGATATCTGATGCTAGGGAGACCTGATACCTTCTCTGGAAAAAAATACTGTGCTCCTTGGAAAATACCCACTCCTGCACAACCTGCACCACAAGCAGCCTTCTCTGCCTCCACTGCGAGCTCTGTTAGGGTGACCATGCATCTTGTAACCCTGGCCAAGAAGTTCGCCCAAAGCCATGAGGACAGTTAGGGCCCCAACACTGTCATCCAGAGCCAGGCCAATGTGGAGGTGTGTGACGCACTGATGTCCCCCTTTGCCCATGCGTCAACTTCCAGTCCTTTTCATCGCTGTCACCTTGGCGTCTCCTCCCTCCCTCCAGCAGCTGTGTAACAAGAAACTGGGCAGCAAATCAAAAAGCATCTTTATTTACTACCCAGTGCTGCAGTTTCTCTCCAGCTTGATGGAACTGCAACCCAACCCCATAAGCACTTCCCTCTTGCTTTGGACCTACAGAAGAAAAGGCCCCAGGGTTCACCCAAAAAGGCTAGACAGTCTCCCACAGTGCCATCACCAGCTCAGTGCATCCTGATGACCTTTCAATTGATCTTTTCCCACTCCTGCTCCTCCTTAGCAAGCATGAGCAGCATCCCACTCACAAAAGCTTGTACCCACCCTGCCACGGCTGCTGGAGCAGGCGCTGCTCCCCAAAACAAGGTGGCACGGCACGGCTGGGTACCTGCAGCCTGTGATCTGGTGCAAACACCATGCCAGCTGCACAGGTTGCATGCGGCTTCTGTTGTCATGGCCAAATCCTGCTCAGCACAATGAAGCAAAGCCCTGTGAAACCATCCAAGCTTTCATTCTCCACTGGAAATGGGAGACAGCACTGCATTTGGATTCTAGTCCAAGCGTTCGGTCAGGGACAGCCCTCTCAGCTGTGGGACAGGGTAAATGCACACCAATGGCTGGAAAACCCGTCAATTTTTATCAGAATGCCTCTCTCATGTAAGACATAACAGGAATAAGGCAGCAGGGTGCTTTCCAAAAGAACAAGGTCCCATCTCTGCTAGGAGAGAGGCTACACCCACCAAAGTTTCATCCTTGCCAAAATGGGTTGAATCAGCAGGGCCAGCTGCCATTCCACCTCACATGCGCGTGGAGAGCTCAAACGTTTCAGGATCCAGTTTTAACCATGGGCAGTGGGAATGGCAGTGCAAGATATGCCGGATCCCCAGCAACCTCAGTGCTGAATTCCCCCTAACGAAGTCTCAAACCCCATGCAGTGTGCCAGAGGGTGATGCAAGAGGAATTTCTTGGTTGCACAGGTGTCCTTTACCATCCTGGGAATTGCAACTAAAGCTCCTCTGAACAACACGTGTCTGAGAGTAGCCATCTTGTTGCCAAAGAGGCTAAGACAAGCCATTGGAGCACACCACTCACCTCTCCTTGCCTGGAGCAGATCGGCTTTGCTCTTCATCTTTTGTGTCTCTCTCCCGCCTTCTCCCATGTCCCCAAGTCCCCACATGACCCCAGGCTGCCACGTGAGCCAGCTCAGAGCTGAGCTGCCATACCCGGGATGATGCTGCTGCCTTGACTCCTGTGTATTTCCCCCCTTGCAGCACACACTGCTGCACCCATGGCTGGAGACCCCCAAACACCTCTCAGCAGCCATCCAGCCAGCAGGAACACTCCAACAGAGAGGGTCTTCTTGAAGTGGCTGTGGCATGCCTGAAGTGAGCCCAAGGGGCAGTTCTGCAGCAGAGCCCCCCTTCCACCTGAGGCTGTTAAAGGATTTTTTCAGGATTTGCTGCAGAATCAGCTGGATCTGCGATTTCTGTCCAGCTGCTGGGGAGTAGGGGCCAAGAGGCCACAATGTGCTAAAAGGCCCAGTTGCCAAATCTCAGAGGACAGCTCAGGCATCCCTTGCATCCAGGCTTGTCCTGAGCCAACCAAACCACGATGCCTCTCTTGGGCAACAAACATCTCCCCAAAAACAGAGACTAAACCTCCTGTCTGACCTAATTCCTTCTTCAGTCTGGCCTTCATTACAATTTAATATGAACAGAACAACGTAGGAGGGAATTGACAGATGGCCCAGTCTGCAAAATTTGGATTTGGACAGCAAAAAAGAAAAAAGAATCTCACTTCTCTGTAGAGCAGTGCAGTGTTTATAAGGGAGCACAGCTAAAAGTCATCAGCCCGAACCCAGTGGTGTGTGCAGGAGGGGAAAACCCCAGGCTGCACATCCCAGCCTCCATCAGCCTCCACCCCTCTAAGACAAAGCAGGCAGACTGAGGTTGTGCTCTTCTGATGACTGCCTGTGAAAGACATTGAGCATCTATCTCTCTGTGCTACTCCTCTTGGTGGGCAGCTTCAGCAGAGCAGGCAGCTGACCCGGTTTTGAGCGCAGGTCTCCTGGAGGGGCTGGACAGGGGTACATGCCAACCTCACACGTGCCAAGTGAATGCCACGCCTGCCCACAGGCAACCTCATGCATGGCACCAGGCCACAACACCCCAAGGTGCCAAGTAGCAAACAGCTGTTGGAAGCCAGCGGGGAGAGTCAGGTGTCCTGGCAGCTGAAAAACACCCAGGGGCTGCATCTTGGGCAGAGGCACAAGGAACAGGTACCCAGAGGGACAGGAGCTACTGTGTGCTGTGCTGCAGAAGAGCATTCCTTTCCATCTAAAAGAGAAAGGAGGACATTTCCAACCCACAACTTGGAAGAAGCAAGCTTCAAAACACAAAACTTTCAACCATGGAGCTGTCAGACAAACAAAACCAACCTAGGACCAGAGGTTTTGCTCAGACTTGAAAAAAATAAAAACCTCACGATCCTTGGCACCTGGCTCACATGACATTCATATGGCTGAGGTTGGCAATGCTGCCACTATTTTTAGCCCTCACTTTTTTGTCTTCACTGCTCATCCCCATCAGCAGCGACCCCACATCAGGGGTCACCTTCCTGCCTCCAGAGCCTCTCTCCAGGCAACTGGGGAGGGGCACCTGCCTCCTCTGCCTGGGGACAGGGGAGCGCTGCCCACACCCCGTGTCTATACGTGCCTCAGCAAGAACTACCATAGCTATGGAAAAATCAAGCTGAAAAAGGTGAATGGGGTATTCAGTACCATTTACTCACCCCACTGGGGAGTAAGGCTGTATTGCACAAATTTTGGTATGCAGCCCAGAAACATTTGATTTATTGCATTAAAAAAAAAAGGAAACACAATCTTGCTTAACTCTTCTAAAGACAGCTGGCAGGACCCAGTGAAGGGATTTAAGTCCATTTTAGTAGCCTCACTTAACTCCTTTCTTTATTGTTCCTCTCTCCTTTCTGCATTCCCATCTAAAACCTGGAGTATATCAGGGAAAGTTAACAGCAAGTTAAGCTGTTAAATCAGAAGTTGTGGTGACTGGAGTCTGTTGGCAAGTGATATTCCCACAACACGTTGAACTTGCTTTATGCCTTGGCAGAGCGGCTTTAACCCTTTCAGAGCTGGGCTGCAACCTCAAGGCAGATTTCTTCCCCTGGTGCCCCCACCTCTCCTGACACCTTACCCAAATGCGTTGAGGGACACCGGTATCTCTTTGCCCCATTTAAGACACACAGCAGCCTCTAAAAGCAAAGGCATCCAAAGAAGGGTCGGAAAGGTCAGTCCCAGGACACGAGCAGGGAGAGGGTGGGCCACTTACAGTGCTCGTATGCACTGCTGGAAACACACCAGCTCCTTGGTCCCTCTAAAAATAAGACCTCACCTGCTGTGTTTGCTTTATTTAAAAAAAAAGAAAAGTACAGAAATGCTTTTCTCTGGTGTTCTGTGAGGAAAGCCGGGCTCACGCTGAAGCCCATAGGAATCAATGGGAAGACACGCACTGACACCTCCGGGTTGCCTGGTCAAAGCAGCAGCCCTCCAGCCAGACTGCAAAAAGGATCACCTGTCAGAAAAAACGCTGGGACACAGACGCAGACACATTTTGGCTCTCAAATTTCATGAGGCGGTGGGAGGGGACCCACGGTGTCAAATCTTTTATCCCTTAATGAATTTTCACAGGAGCCGGGATAGCCCCTTTGAAAGGCTGAGTGAACTTGTGTGGGTGTTGACAACATGAAACAAGATTTACAGCTCTGACCCATTCACCCCCACCAAAATTGTCAAGTTGGGTCCAGAACAGCTCAGTGAAGCTCAAATCAGAAGTGTCAGTCAGTTTTATTCCTCCAGATGTCCTTAGCACAAAGTCACCCTCACAAAAGCACGCGACCCAGGCTCCTCAACTCCCCTCTAAATCAAGGCAAGACGAGGAATAAAAAAAAAACAACACGCTGAACCCTGCGAAGTGAAAGGGAAAACCACACACACACACTCACACACAACCTGACAACAAATAAACCCAAAGAAAACCAGGCCTCAGCCTCCCAAGCATATCCCAGCATATGGAAGAGAACGACAGACTTTGTATAGGAAGCCTCGGCTCAAGGGTTGAGAGCAGCGGTTCTCCCGAGGTGCCTATTTAAAACCACCCCCACAACCCTTGTTTTTACACTTGATTGCTCCACACTGCCGGTGTGAGCCCTGGGTCACTAGAAACCCTGCTAAAGTACCACTGGCTCAAGGCAAGGCAGCCACATCTGCTGGTACGGTTACGCTAAATCCGAGTTTCCTCATGTGCCCCAGTTCCCTACTGCTCAACAGAGTGCTAAAACCTTTCCAAGTTGTGCTCTTAAAACAATTACTGTAGGGAAACGCAATTGGGCAGGAAGAAGAAGAAGAAAAAAATAAAAATCACACAAAGTCGAAGGCTGCATGCCAACCATTAACTCTCACTCCATTTTGGCTTCGCTTTCGTGTTTTTCCTCTCTGTATTTTTATCCCTCCGAGACCCAACACACCGCAGTGTTTTGCAGAAGAGAGTTTAACAATCTCCCCGGCCTCCGAGGCCGGAGAACTGTCTGTCCCTGCCCGGGACCGCGCCGCTACGACCACCTCCCGCTCCCCACACCGTCCAGCGAGCGGCGGGACCGCCACGGGCGCCTGGGCCCGCGCAGCCCCGCCTGACCTCGCGTAGCCCCGGCCCCGCACGCCCCTCCGCGCCTCCCCACGCGGGGCTGCCCCGCGCTGGCACGCCGCAGCTGCTCGGGTGCGCAAACGGTGCGCTGCTAACGCCTCCCTCCCCCACAACCCGCTCCGGGCGTGGAGCCGAGGCGCAGACTGTCCTCGCCGCCGCCGCCGCCGCCGCCGGCTGCTCCCCGGGGATGCCCCGCGCACCCACCGCAGCGGGCCGCCCCGCCAGCCCGCGCCTCGGCCGGCTCTCGGGGTCCCTCTAGCGACACGCGTGGGGACGGCGGGCAGCGGGGACGGCGCAGCTCGGCATGGCACGGCGCGGCATGGCACGGCACGGCACGGCACGGGTCTGCCCGGCATGGCGCGCGCAGGGGTGCCCTCCTGCCCCTGCCCGCGGGGAAGCTGTGAGGAGCCGCGCGGAGCGGAGCGGCGCTTACCTTGGAGATGCCGCTGCTACTCTCAACTTCTGGCGGCGGCGGCGGGCCGGGGAGGAAGGCAGGCTGCCGGCAGCGCTCATCCGTGTGTGCCCCGGCGCTTGACATGCTGCTGCTCTCCTGCCCTGGCAGTGATCGCGGCTTTGGCTCGCCTTCCCGCGCCCTGGCTCGCTCTCCTCGTCGTGCCTTTTGGTATGTCAAGTCCCTGCTTGATTTTGTCTGAAGGATGTTATTTTGTTACGATCAGGTATCTTGTTATTCTAGAGAGCGAGCGAGCGCTTTCCTTTTCTTTCCGGTTTCTTTTTTTTTTTTTTCCCTCCTTTTTTTTCTTTTTTTTCCTGTTTTCCCCCTCCTTTTTTTTTTTTCCTTTTTTTTTCCTTTTTTTTTTTTTTTTTTTTCCCTTCTCTTTCTCTCTTCCTGCTTTGGCTGCCCCTTGGGTGGCTCTCACTTTTGTGTTTACTGACTACGTCCCCCTGGCTGGGGCGGAGGGGCTGGCTGCCTGACTGACCGCTGCTCCCAGCTGGCTGCCCCACGAGCGAGGAGACAGGCAGGGCGCTTCGTCTGCCCCCCTTTTATACCCCCCCAATGGGCATGCTCTATCGTCCCCAGCGAGCACCAGCCCGGCCACGCAGCCAATAATGTTGCAGAGCGGTCTAACCCCCTCTCTTCCCTCCCTCCCTTCCTTTCTTCCCTCCTTCTCCCTCGTAACCCTCCGGAGTCCAGCTCGGGGAGGGAAGAGGGGACAGAAAGTTTCTGCCGCACGGTTTCTCCGCGGGTTGCTCCCGAGTGGGGGCTTTGACCCACCCCGGCTGGTCCCGGAGGGTGGAAGGGCGGGGGGAGGCTGAGAGCATCCCCCGCCATCCCCGCAGGTGAGGGGAGGAGGTGAGGGGCTGCGCTCCGAGCCCATGCCCCAGATGCTGGGGGGTACCCTCTGAGCGCCTCTCGCTGCCGAGCAGCGAGCCCCAAGCCCTGGGAGGGAGATGAGAGGGTACAGCAGGGGACTGCTCTGCCTATCCCGCTCCCGGGGCTCTGCCTAGGTGCGTACAGGGCACAGGTGTCCGCACCCTCCGTCCTGCCCCGCACTCGCCCCGAGCTGCTCCGAAGGGCTCCCCGGTGAACGCACAGCCATTCAGGGGTGCCGGCAGCAGGGTTCCCCTAGGCTTGCACGCCTGTCCCGCGCTAAGTGTCCCAGTGCAGGAAGGAAGTGGCAGCAGCAAGCGCCTGCATCCACCCGGGTGCGTCCTTGTGGACAGCATAGAAACTGCCCCCCCACAGGGCAGCAGAACTCGGGTTTGCACCCCTCAGAGCACCTTAGCGGGAGAGGTTCCTGTTCACTTGGTCACCTCTGCTTTCCGCGGGCTTCTGCAAGCGAGCACAGTTGCCTTTAAGGCAAAGGGACTTTTCCCAGGCTTCACCGTGCGTGTACAGCAGCGCGCGGGCTGAACGCGCTCCCACTGCTCTCTCTGCCCGTGCTGCATGTCAGTCACATTGTGCTGCATTAATCAAAACTCACCTTCTCGCAAAGACCTGCCCTCCAAGTCTGCCCCACTGGGTCAGCAGGTGTTCCAAGGGAAGGGACCACACTCACAGCCCTGGCCAGCACCCAAGTGCCCACAGCCTCACCACTGCTTGGTGGGTGCTCCTCTGCAGGGGCGCATACTATCCTTGATGTGGAGAGGAGCGGAGCTGCCTGAAACTGAGCAGCAGGTTGGTCCATCTCGGGCAGCACTTGCCATAGTTAGTGGCGTGAAAGGGCAAGGATACTGCAGGCAGTGAAATAAAGAAAACATTTTTTATCTTCTTTTTCAAGTTTGCACTTTTTTCTGTCACAGATGGGGGCTTGGTGCATCTCTGAACATGTCCAAACATGAATTGCCCTAAACATGCCCGAGAAAATGTGTGCAGGACATGTCCTTTCTCACTAGGCTTTGGACATCCTTCCTTCCCCAGCATCCTTCTGTTCTCTGATCTGTCCTCTGGGCTCTGCTTCTCCAGGCTGTCGCTGGGCATCGTACCCAGCAGACCTGGTCCCACGGCTGCTGGCTTTGACCGAAACATCGACACACCTGGGAGAGAGAGGTGATGCTGAGGAAGCGATTCTGTGCACACCACATTCAAACAAGCATCGAGTCTCAGTTCCTACACTGATATTTAAGCATGTAAAGAAGTGGCCTGGCCATCAAGGAGACTGAGCATCTGCTGGCATGTGTGGGGGCTCTAGACTTTTCCTGAAAAGAGGCATCTCCATCAATGCTTACCTTGGGCTTTAGGAGTTTCTCCTAGATGCCCAGCACTTAGTAAACCCTGATAGTGGGTCCTCAAACCGCTCAGCAGAGCTGGTCTCCTTAACAAAGATTAACCACCTTTCCTCAGTGCAAAAGCAAAACCCCATCAAAGGGAAGGACCCAACCTTGGCAGGGGGGTAAGCAGGGCTGTAAGCTACTGTTAATAGCTAAGGAGCCCAGCTCCTTTCCCTTCCCCCAGCTCACCACAAGGACCTCCTGAAAGAAGACAAAAGAAAGCTTGGAGGGTTAATCTCCCTGAGAAAAACAGCTGATTTTCCAGTAAACAACTGCAATAGCAAACAATGGGGGTGAAAAATAGCGATCATAAAAAAGTCGCCTTGGAGGAAGAGAGAGGTGTCTCTCCGGCTGGGCGAAAAACAAGGCAGCAGTTTGGTGAAGCTGCTGCAGCAACTGCAGCAGCAAAATAAACCCCACAAGTTGCCACTGGGTCTACTTGTGTTTGTGCCTTTTGATCTTTTAATTGCTTCTTAGTTATCCTTCAGTGCAAATAAATAGTGCATTGTGTCAAGAAAGAGGAGGGGGGCAGGGAAGGGAAGAAAGAGACACAAAAGAAAGAGCTGTGGCCCACAAGAGAAAAGGAACAGGTTCTTTCCTCTCGCCTTTAAAGGAGTGAATATATCTGTATTTGGCTGGGAGAAGGGTGAGAAGGGGATAGGATTAGAAATCAAAGCAAAATTGGAGAGAAGCGCATTAAGCCTCGGGCATCCTTACAGTAGGAAGAGGGAGGTGGTAAAACCCTCTGGGAGTTTATTCGGTGAGTTATGAGAGGATCCACGAGTGTAATATTGTTAAAGGTCAGCCTAAACCTAATTTAAGCTAGGGACGTGTGACCTCCGCCCTTCATTTAATACAGTCATAAGGAACATTACACTGCAGATAGCTGGAACAATAGCTGCCTCCACCCCGAACTCCAGCCCCTGGCACTGCCTGCAAGGAAGACTTGTGAAGGAAAGAAGGAGTTACCAGGAAAGCCAAAGACATGGCTAACCTAAGGACAGAAAGGCAGAAAGAAGGAGAGCAAGGCCTCTGGATCACAGCACTGACAACCAGGGGCTTGCCAAAACACAGCACCCCAGGAAGCATTTTGGTTTGAAAGTAGATGGGCTGTAGCAAAGCATCACCTGAAAACATTGGAAATGCAACAAAAATAGCCCACCATGTCTTGCAGTTGTCAGACCTCCATGGTCATCAGCACAGTCTGGGAGAGAAATTGTAGAGAAACCATGGTTGTGGGTTCCCATTAAATTCACAAGGAGTAAGGACAGCATTTACAAAGCAAAGTCAGCCAAAGCAAGCCTAAACTAAATGGAACTTAAGCAGGAGCTGGAACAAAAGCGACATCTGAAAGGTGCCCTAAACCAACCAGGGGATGCCTGGGACTTGGAGAGAAAGCCTTTGCTGCTGCAGCGGTTGTGGAAGTGTCCAGACAGACTGCAAAGGCCCCTGATGGCACTGCCCATCTGAGCTGATCAAAGCAGATCGTGGGTGGCCACCAACATACAGAAGTGAGCCGGAAAGCTTTCCAGGGAAAGGGGGAAGAACAGGAAGGCTTGGGCCAGCCCAGACCTTGCAGGCAGGGATGTGAGCTTCAGCAAAGGCAGAGGAATGTAAATAGCTACAGAATTGCAGTGGTTGTGGGCCAGGGTGGATGTTAGCAATCCAGGCAGATGTCTTCAGGGATGGGGACATTTACATGACTTTTTCTTTTTTCTCCACCTATAATCCAAAGAGGGAAGAGGTCACCTAATCCCAGCCCAACCAACACACCCTGTGGTTCTCATTTGGTTTATTTCACAATTATACCACAGATGTCAGGGTGAGATGAATGGAGATTTGAGGTGCGTGGTTCAGGTACCTACAGTATTACAAAGGTACCCCAGTTTGTAAAGCACCTTATATTCTCATATGTCAAGAGTGAGGATAATCAGGAGAAATTAGACTGCTTTGCTGGTGTGTCCAACAGATCTGGGCACTGCAGGTTGAGACGTCAAAGACAAGACAAAAGGAGGGTGAGGGTGGTCCCTTGGGTTTGGGTCTCCTGTCATTGAAGACTAGGAGAAAAATTCATCCCTAGTGAGAATGGAGAGTGATTAGGCAGAGTCCTATATACAGCTGTTTAGTGGCAGAGGAACAATTGTACTTGGCCCAGAGGATTTTTCAGTGGCATTAAGAAAGTGATACCTTTTGTTTTGTACAACTCAGGAACCTGGCAATAACACCGTGTCCTTGCATGCTGCTAAAATATATTGATTCTGGGCACACTAAACTGTTGGAACAGGAGAGATTCATTGGCAAAAGGGGATGTGATATATAGAAGGTCCCTGTGTGAAACTGAAGTCAAAGAACTAGGTGTGGGAGAAATAATTCACCTGGGCCCCTGGTCAACAAGGAGCAGACAAGAGCAGAGTCTGGGCAGGTCTGCTCAGGGCTTCTGTCACCCTTGGGTAGGGAGAGCATTCTGGGGCCATGCTTGTAACCCAGAGGGTCTCTGCTGCAGGACTGTGGGCAGGGGAAACGCATCGGCAGAAGATGTTTCTTTGGCATGTTCAGAGTGAAAGAGGGATTCTTGTTGCAACTCCTGCCCAGGTCTAACAATTCCTTGGAGCACTTGTTAGACTTAGGTGTTCAGGAGGGGTGTTGGCAGATGCATCCCGAGGACCTGGCAGGTGCTGAGCATAGCACAAATGAAGTTATTCCAAGGTAAGTTATTACACCATGCCAGAGGAATTTGTGACAGTGGTAAAAGGCACAAGTGTTTTCACCCCTGTTTATGTGGAAGACAAACTATGCATTTTTGTGGGCTAGACAGACTTGGTATTCTTGTAGCATCTTTTAAAATTCAACCTCCCTAGCAATCAGAGAAAAGCTCCAGGCTGAGCAGCCTCACTTGGCTCAAGAGGCTCAAGAGGTAGGGTGGTGTCATGGTGTCCAAGTGTTAGGTAAGAACCGCACAAGCAAGAATGACATTCAGCAAGTGAAATGTGGTGGGTTTGCTTGTCGGGGTGCTGTTTGCAGCATTTCCCAAAAGAAGAAGGCCAAGGGGTCCCAGGGTCAGATGATCCCAGAATGGGAGAGAAGTGTCACCTTTCTCCCCATGACCTGTGCAACAACGAACAACTCTGGGTCATCCTTGGTTGCCAAAGTTTACTCCGGTTCAGCTAACAGCTTTTCAGAAGGGTTGTTGGAGAAAGGTGGAATAGGGTAGATAAGGAATGCCCACCCTCCTCCCAACTTCTCATTGCAGAGGGAGC